CCCCCCCCCACTCATCAACAGCAAAGGAGCTGTCAGGCAGCCCACATCCTTGGGGTGGGGCTGTGAGCGCCATGGAGTCTGGGGAAGGGGAGGTGCAGGGGGAAGGAGCTCCCATGTCACACGAGGTGCCCGGGAGCTGTATGCAAAGATGGCACTGACGACAGCTAGGAGCTGGAGGCCTGTGGGGGTGAGGGGTCAGGGCCCCCAGGAAACCGCAGCGGCCTGTGTGGCGAGGGCGAAGGTCACTCGGGCAGGGACAGGGTCGGGCCGTGCAAGACCGCGGGGACACGTGAGCCGGGACAAGGCTGGGAGGGGTGTAACGAGTCGGTGGCTGCTGGTTTGAGGATGGAGGAACAGGAGGAGGTGGCCGGTCGGGATATGATATAAGAGAGGCGGGGCCGTTCACAAGCAGGACGGCCGGGCAGACACGGGCCCTGACCCCGGAGGCCTGTGAGGGCGTGACCTCGAGCCACGTGGCGAGGGGAGGTGGGGGCAGAAGCCGCACCACCAGCTGTTCACAAAACCAGGTGTGGGGACAAAAGCTCGAGGAGGCCTCAGGGACACTGTCCCGTCGGTCACACGGGGTCCGGGCAAGGACACGCCAGTGCGGCGCCGGGGGCCACACCCCACGCACCTCCCGCTCCTGCTCCGTCTTGGACAGCCGCATCTGTCTTAGCATCTGTGACCTCTGCTCCATCACCAGCGTCCGCTCGTAGGTGAAGGCCGAGATGTCGTTCTCCACCTACGGGTGCCGAGGCGCACATGCCGGTCACCACTCACCCCCCGACCCCAGTGAGCGCGCTGCGGGCCTGGGGGCCCCCGGCGTCCCCAACCCTACGTGTGAGCGTGCAGCTCACGACTAGACGCCCTCCACCTGCCCCGGGACCCACGTTCACTGACACACGAGACACCCACGAGAGGGAGGCACCACAACCGTGGGCTCCGGACGCAGGCCGGCCCACACGTGCCCCACGGGACAGGCCGTAACCCTCCCGCTGGCCCCGGAGCTCAGATCCCCCAGGAGGCGGCCAGCCCCGTGGTCAAGCCCGGTCCAGCCGGGTCCTCCTCCCGTGAACCCACGACCCAGTCCAGCCACGAGAAAAGCATCAGGCGAACACAAACTGAGGGACTCACTACACGTGGCCTGACCCTCCTTGAAGCTGTCGAGGTCACGGAAAAGGAAGGAAGGAACCCGAGCCGCCGTCACAGCCAGAGGACAGAGAAGATGCCGTGACGGCCCAGCAGGCCGGCCCTGGGCTGTAAGGGCCGTGGGGACCCTGCAGGTGGGAGCTGCGTCCGCCCTGTGCCCGGCTCCCTCACCATCTCCACCACCTCCACCTCGGCACTGATGCGCAGGTGGTACAGGAACGTCTGCAAGTCCTTCTTCATCTGAATGCTGTTGTCGTGCACCTGGGCCACCGTGAAGATGCGCATCTGGCACCTCCTCCACACCTGGGGGGCGAGGAGCCGTCACTCCTGCCTGCTGTCCACTCCCTTCCCGTGTGGCCCCTGCCCCGTGACCCCGCTCCCCGTGTGGCCCCTCCCCATGACCCCGCTCCCCGTGTGGCCCCTCCCCCGTGTGGCCCCTCCCCATGACCCCGCTCCCCGTGTGGCCCCTCCCCCGTGTGAACCCCCCCCCTGACCCCCCTCCCCCTGTGGCCCCCCCCCCGTGTGACCCCTCCCCATGACCCCGCTCCCCGTGCGGCCCCTCCCCCGTGACCCCCGCGACCCCGCCCGCACCTTGTGCTGTCGCAGCAGGAAGGGCAGCAGCATAAGCAGACCGCCGTCATGCACGATCCACCACACGTCGATGTGCCCGTCGCTGAAGCGCTCCTGGTTTTGCGGAAACAGATCCACGTTCTTGGCCACCAGCAGGGCCTGCTGCGCCGCCGTGGTGTCACGGACGGTGTCTGTGGAGAGGCGGGCAGGTCACGGGGTCACAAGCCCACCCAGCAGAACCAAGCAGCCTGGACTCACCAGCGGGACGGGGGCAGGGGAGCCCGGGGTCCCCACGAAGCCCCTCGCGGGGCACGCCCCCCCATCACTGCGGCCCAGCCGGGGCGCCCCCGGGAACCACCAAATGGGGGCAAGGCCGGGGCAGGGCTCCCGTCACAAGGCTTCCGAACGGCCCGACCCACCAACGAAGTTCTTCCAGGAGAAGGGGCTGTCCTCCCGCTTCCAGGCCTCGGGCCAGGCCATGAGTACCGTGTTGTGCTTCATGCCCCCCAGGCCGGCCGACTGGATCAGGTGGGACATGCCGTCCCGAAGGCTGGACGACACCACCAGCTGGCAGAAGCCCTTGGCCTTCTCGGTGCCCATCAGGGCCCGGATGTTCTGCAGACACAGGCGGGTCGGGCTTGGGGTGAGGGGCGGGCTGGGGGCAGCAGGTCCCAGCACACACCCGCCCACCACACGGGGCCGGGCGGGCCCCACGCGGACTCATAGCCTCACGCGTGGGGGCCAGAGGCTCAGCGGGCGCCCCTCGGTACCTGAAATCGAGGCCAGGGCCTGGCGCTCTCGGGCACTGCCTGCGTGTGCACGGGAGCACCAGTGCACACACGTGTGCGTGCCCACAGGAGAGCGGGGGTGAAGGCCACCACTGCGGGCACGCTGGGACCTGCGGGGTCACAGGCCACCCCCTACTGCACATGGACACCCTGGCCCTCACTCCTGGCTTGCGGGAACCTTGGTCAGGAAACATCAAACCACACAGCTCTTCCTAGAAGGCGGTGGTGCGGGAGTGAAGTGCCCGGCGGGTGCACTGCTGCCCCCTCAGCCACATGCCACGCACCCGACTGGGGCAGCTCCGCGTCACAGCGCAGCCCGGCACACCGTGACCACAGCAGGCCTTCTATGGAGGTAGTGCCACCTGTGCAGCGGGTCCTCTGCCGGCCATGCCGACTGGCTCTCGGGGGCCTGGCTTGGGGGTGGGGCCTCAAGCCACAGGGAAGCACTGCCGGCCCGACACCAAATGGAACTGCCCCGCTGGAGTCCAAACCCCCTGGCTCCTCCAATCTGTGCCTCCCCGGCTGGGATGTGTCCCCTGTGCAGGTCCCGCAGTGCACTTTGGAACGCGAACTGCTTATCTCCGAGTCACACAGGCTGTGGGCAGAGGGGTTCTGACCCAGGATGGACTCCACTCAGAATCTCACCCACACCTGAGTCAGGTGATTTAGAAGACAAGATTTGGGACCTTTGAACTGCGGGTACTTAGACGACATTCCGCACTTACTTGACGTCGTAAGGGGTTGAGACTTGGGAGGATGCAGTGATGAGATAAACGTACTTTGCACATCAGGCAGGTGTGCATTCTGGGGGCCAGAGGACAGACCACAGTGGGTTAATTGATGGTGGCCCCCAAAAGATACACCCACCTCCTAATTCTGAGAACCTGTGAATGTGGCCTTATTGGAAAAGAGTCTTTGCTGATGTAATTAAGTTAAGGGTCTTGACGTGAAACCATCCTGGATTATCCAGGTGGCCCCAAATCCAATGTCAGGGACAGGAGAGAAGACAGACACAGAGAAGCCATGTAAAGACAGAGGTGGAGACCAAAGGGACGTGGCCAGGAGCCCAGGGACACCTGGAGCCCCGGGAGCTGGACGAGGCAGGAAGGACCCTCCCCTGGAACTCAGGAGGGAGCTTGGCCCTGGGGCACCTCGATGTGTGACTTTTGGCCTCAGAGCAGAGACAGAGTGAATCTTGGTTGTTCTAAGCCCCTGTTGCTGATACTTGGGATGGACGCCCCAGGACCTCATATGATAGATTGGAGCCACGTCCCCCCTCGACCACCCGGACTTGAGCCACCACGTCGAAGGGCTGCTGGCTCAAGAAGGAAGAGTCCAAACAGGTGCTTGGATGTGACCCAGGGCTGCCTTGGTGCAGCCGCAGTGCAGTTCAGGGATCCCTGGACCAACGCTTCCTGGAGACCAGAGGCCAGGGGCTCGGCCCCATCAGGACACGGTCGCTCAAGGGGCTTAAAGGCCGCATGCTCTAGCTTTGAGACCAACAGCTTCTCAGGTCACTGGTGGAAATGCTGACCTGATGCTATGGCTTCATGGAGACACAGCAGGGTTTTGTGGTTCTTCTGTCCCACTGCTGGAAAGCCCACTCCACTGCCTTGTGAGGTGTCGGGGCCCCCGCTACCCTGGCCTCGCGGGAACTTCGAGGGCCCAGCGGTATCTTCGGGGCCTCGGGCACTACCTCCACACCCAGCTCCTGGGGCCCTGAGGACCAGGCCCTGTGGGACCTCAAAGTCAACGTGTGAGCCCTTCCCTGCCCCATAGAAGGCCAGCCTCGTTCACGCCCCCGGGAAGGGGAGCGCAGAGCACAGCCTTTCCCACACCCCGGCCAGCACGTCTCAGCTGCTGAGCCATCTGACGTGAGCTGCTCGATCCCCCTAACCCAGCAGGAACCTACAGGGCTCTACCCTCCCGAGGCCTCTGCTTCCGCGGCGGGACACACGCTGAAAAACTCGAGGCAGGTCCAAGTGCACTGCCCAGTCTTCGACCTACAAAACCGGGTGGGTGCCCAGTGACCCTCCAGCGGGTGAGATGCTGTGGGCTGCACCCGACTGCAGCATCCCTGGGGTCCTCACCCCCTGAGACCCGGTGAGTGCCTCCACCCAGCCCCTCAGATGCCAGCCCCTCCCCTCGGGAACACACTTGGCTCTGAGCTGCATCCGTGCCGGACATCTGGGGTGAAACCCAGCTGTGCCTTCCTTTTCCCATGGCAGCAACGGGACAGAACCCTCCCAGTAAGAGACGGCAGAGGGGGGCCTGGGGTCCCCCTGTTCCTGGCCACACGGACCGGCCTTTACGTAAACTACCAGGCAGACCAGAACTGGAACTTGGCTCGGAGCCTCAGGGGCATGGCACCAGGGAGGGAGGCTCTAACTCCAAGAATCCATCCTAAGAGCAATCCCCCGTGGACTACATCTAAGTGGTGCTTACGCCACACTTCCTGACACCAAAGCAATGGGAACCACCTCCGTCCCCAGGACAGCAGTTCCACGGAATAAAACTCAGAGCACATCCACGAAACAAACGCTGTGCAGCTGTCATAAACAAAACAAGCACCCGGCCGACTGGAAAAGCGACAGTTCAAAGCAAAGGAAGTGTGTGAAACGGTATTTCTGCAGGATCGTCTGTTTAAAAAAGACCAACAGGAGAAAGTCCAAAAGGACACATATCAGGCTATGATGTTCTTGTCTGGAAAGAGGGCTGTGAATCCAGCCGAGTCGGTGCCATTTCGGGCAGGGGCCCGGAGCCTTCGACCCCCTACTCAGTGCTGGAGCCCACCTCCCCAGCCCCACTGTGCCCCCTGCCCATCCCCAGAGATGCTGGGAGGACAAAAGGACCCGCGAGTGTGAGAGAGGGAAGACGCTCCGTCAGCGCCTGGGCAATGTCGCACACGAGAGCTGGGACCTTCCCACCCTCGGACACGGGTCTGGAGCTTCTTCACACCGACGCAGGGAGCTGTCGAGAAGGCCGACACAAGGAGGTTGTCCCACCAGCGAGAATGACACACCACGTCTACACCCAGGATCATGGCCACGATCCTAGCATCTATACCCGGGATCACAGACACCACCCCAGGGTCCACACCCAGGGTCATAGCCATGGCCCTGGTGTCTACACCGACACCACGGCCACGACCCCAGCGTCTACACCCAGGGTCAACAGATGTAACCCCAGTGTCTAAACCCAGGATCACAGCCACAACCCTGGTGTGTACACCCATGGCTCACAGATGGCCAAGGTCACCAGAGAAAATGTGTGAGATCACCCAGGGAACTGTAACCCCTAAGGGTTGGGCAGGGGAAAAGGAGTGCAAGAGTGAATGAAACTGGAATACCAGACAGGGAGGATACAATTCTCAGACAACCCTGGCACCTACACCCATGGCTCACAACCAAAACCCTGGCATCTACACCCAGGGTCACAGCCATGACTCCAGCATCTACAGACAGGATCACGGCCACAACGCCGGCGTCTACACCTGGGATCGCAGCCACAACGCCGGCGTCTACACCCCCAGCCAACACCAACAACTATCCCGTTAAAGCCCTGGGTCACGACGATGCTGAGAGAGTGGCTGGTGCCGCTGGCTGCCAGGGCGGGTCCCCGGGGGCCCGCTGTCCGGCCAACCAAGGAAGGGGCTGTCGACGCCTCGGGCTACACAGGCCACGACCCCCTCCAAGCAGCCGTGCCTCCCCCAGGTGCTCTGGAGACCTCTGGGCGCAGCCCGGTTTACAGACACCGGGACAGCAGGGCTGACCCGGATGCCCGGGCACAGCGGGCAACCCTGACGTGGGGACGGCTGACGAAGGACCCACCCGAGAGCAAGACCCAGACGCCCCAGCCAGACGGGAGCCGCCCGAGGCCAGCAGCCGGCAGGCTGGACGCGGCCTGTGGACGGACGGGCGTGGTGGGGCTGCTGTGAGAATCGCCTCCTGTTTCAGAGACAGACATGCGGGGTCTGGGGTGAAAAGAGTGAGCGGTGGGTCGGTGTTGACACTCCCGGGGTGGGGCGGGCAGGCAGAGGTGACAGGACGTGGGCCACGCTGGGACGGCCGTGTGGTACATCTACTGTTTCTACATCTGTCTGAAATTGCCCACGAGACGGGGTTTGAAGCTCAGGCACTGGGGCTGCCCCGGACCGAGATCAGAGGTCGCGGTGGCACCAGCTGAGCATCCGAGTCAGGGTGACGGAGGCCTGGCCTGGGTGCCCGTGACCCGCCGTCCCCTCTCTGGTCCGTGGAGCCTCTGGACGGGCTGACCCGGCAGCACAGGCCCCAAACGTGGGAGCAGATGCGACAGGTGCGGGGCCCGCCTGTCGGGAGACCTGCCCCGAGGCTGCTCTCAACAGCCCCGAGTCCCCCCGCCGTCTGAGGTCCTGGGGCCACGCACGTCACACTCTCCTCCACAGGTTTCCCTCCTGCTGGTTTCAAGCCCAGAAAGTGCCGCCCGGGTAGAGACAGGACGCAGCGCGACACGCAGGGCTGCGCTCGGGCGCACGGCTGGAAACACGACGGCACGGCCCCGGCACCCCCTCCCTGGCGCCTGGCCCACCTCTTCGGCCTGCCGGGCCTCCACATGCTGGTCCAGGAAGGTGCCCTCTAGCACGGAGCCCACGATGGTCAGGCCCTTGCCGGCCTTGAGCTGCGAGGTGAAGGACAGCAGGCGGGGGTGCTTCACGCACCGCTCGGCGTTCAGGTTCACCAGCACCAGCACCTGCGGCCTGCCGGGGCGGGGGGCAGGGAGCTGTCACCATGGCAACTCGCCCCCACTCTCACACCAGGTGAGCTGCGTGAGACCCCTCCCGGGCCACGTGCCCCAGGCTCCCTGCTGGGCAGCGGGCTTTCTGTGCAGCTAAGCCTCGGGTTCTGCAGGGGCAGCCTCCCCTCCCTCCTCCCAGAGGCGAGAAGACTGTCAATGCCCTCCATCCACGGCAGGCCCCCGGGTGGGTCAGCTCGCCGCCCTCGTCCCCCTCCACCCCCGATACATGACCAGCGGGCGCTGAGACCCGAGCTGACCAGCCCAGGCTGACGCAGGGACAAAGGTGCTAACAGCTTCCTTGACAACCGTCTCCTGACGGGGGGGTGGGCACCGTCTTCTCTCTGCAGCCTGCTTTTAGGAACAGGCATCCGTGGGGTCAGAGGGCATGGGGACACTCACCTCCAGTTCTTGGTGTGGAGGGGGCCGTGCTCCACGTGCAGCAGGGCGTAGCGGGCAGCGTTCAGCGACAGCCCCCGGATGCCGTCGCCCCACTCCTTCTCGGCCCTGCGGTGGGGGTGCAGTGGTGAGGCCCCGCCCACAGCGCACCCAGGTGGCCACTCAGGGCCTCTCGGCGCTCCTGTGACAGAGGAGGGGGCTCCCCAGAACAGGCGGGAGTACGAAGCAGCAGGACATGGGGAGGGGCACCTGGTGGCACGGGGAGGGTGGCGGCGGCACTGGCACCCACGCAGGATCTCAGAGTCGGGGTCATCGATGGGGCAGAGGAAGAGGACGTGGGGTGGGGGGGGGACTCTGACTCACAGGCCGTGGACCGGCTTACCAGCAGGAGTGGTCACGGCCCCCAGACCCTCCTTCCAAGCCACCCTGGAAGAGCTGCGAGGGACTTCAGGCAGTGTCCCTGGAGGCCCTCCCACCCCCCATGCCCTGAGAAGCCCACCCCAGGTCCCACCTCCCTAGGGCCTCTCCCCCTGGAGGGGTCCAGGGCGTCCAGGGGAAATGCCCCAGTGATGGACCAGGGGCTCTGAGATGCACTTAACCTGCCCACCGTTTCGGTTTTTTACAGTGTACCTTTCAGAAACGTCTATTTCTGAAAATCCATTGCACATCAGTGCTACCGTTAAATAGATTTCAAAGTTTACAAGGAGCACTGCTGAAAAAGTATGTTATACTTACACACAGATACACGTAGATAAACCTAATGAAACGTCGTAACAAACGTGGAGTCAATTAGAAAGAGTAAACGTGGTCATCCACTGGTTAGGAGCTCACAGGCAGAAATCCACGCAGCCCCCAGCAGGAGGCATGGGCTTCGACCCCTCCGCTGCTAGAGGTCCCTGAGCCCTCACCCCGGGAGAGGGGCCGGCGGCAGCTCACCCACGGTACTCGATGTACTTGTAGATGCAGCCGGCAATGAGCATGGCGCAGAGCGCGTAGTACCAGGAGCAGATGAACATCAGGGCGAAGCACAGGCTCATGCCCAGGAAGGAGAGGGTCCTGGGGGACACGCAGCTCAGAGGGGGCCCACCTCACCGCCCGGACCCCCAGGCCGGCACCTGAGCAGCCGCCTCGGACCCCAGCAGAAACCCTTGCTTTGGTCTCATCGAGAGCACAGCAAGGATGCTGGGACCGGTTTCTCCACCCGGACCATCCCAAGGGCCGAAACGGCCCCGAGGCGCCTACAGGAGACCCGGCTCGGAGACCGGGCTGGTCCCACGATGGCTAGCCAGGCACCTAGGTGGCAGCTGGCCCCCAACACGCACCGCGTGCCCCAGAGAAGGGAGGGGACCGGGCTCCCCACGGCCGCTCACCAGTGGTAATACTTGAAGCGCGGGCGCCAGTTGGGCGTGCGCAACAGGGTCTGCAGGGCGCAGGCCAGGTTCACGAACATGTAACACATGAGGAAAAACCTGGGGACGTGAACAGCGGCGTGAGGGGCGGGCCAGGTCCCGCAGGGTCCCGCTGAGCTGCCTGAGCCGCCGCCACCTCCCCCGGGAGCCCCCTTGCCCACATCGCGGTCCCCTCCCGTGGGGTCCGCCTGCCCCGTCATCCACCGCCTGGCCCCCTCCTCTGCCCTATGCCCTCCCGTCCGCCGTCCCCTGGGCAGGGGCCTCACGTCCCAAGGGTGGCTGCCAACGGGGCCAGTGGCCACTCACATGGAGAGAATGGGAGCCACACTGTCCAGAGAGGCGATGAGGATGCCGGTCTCACAGATCAGGGCCGTCAGCAGCAGGGCCCACGTGGGCTCCCCGTTGGCCTTCCCGTGGCCAAACACCTGCCAGGAGAAAGGCAGGTGGGCTGGGGGCCACGGGCGGGTGGCCGCGGCGGGCGTAGGACGCAGGAAAAAGAGCTCATGTTCAGGCGAGAAGCCGAGCTAGTCGGGTCCAACCCAAAAGAGGTCTCAGAGTTGCGGCAGAAACAGAGCCGGACTTTTCACGACATGGCCTGGACCTCACCCAGCCACGTCCAGGAAGAAAACCCGACACCCAGAGAGCAGACGGCGGCCCAGGTACCGTCAGACCCCAGACGCCCTCATCGAGCGCAGGCAAGGAGGCGACACCCTCGAGCACTGGACGGGGCTCTCCCCACAGCACACACCCGCTGGGAGGATTCTGTGAGGGCCCTGCTGCAGACCCTCGGTCCTGGAGCACAGCCCTGCGGGAGGGCAGGGCTCGGGAGTCTTTCCCACCAGCCTTTCCCCTGCACCGCAGTCCTGAGAAGGGAAATTCAGAACATGCGGCAGACACAGGGCGGGACAAGAAATGCAGGCCTCAGGGTGGGCTGCCAGTCTGGAGGCGGGGACGGGGGTCCCACCGCCTTCAGCCGTAAAGATCACACTCCCGGGCAGGATCTCTGGCCCCTCCTGACGCGCTCCTTCCAGGGGGGAGTGGGGGGGGGTTCCCTGCTCTCGGCAGCGGGCTCACCTGCAGGAAAGGGATGATGCCATCCCGGGCGATGGCCTGCAGCAGGCGTGGGGCCCCTGTCAGGCTCTGCAGGCCAGCCCCGCAGGTGGAGAAGAAGGACCCGATGACGATGACCCAGGGGGACGGCCAGGCCAGCATGCCAATGACGAGGTTCCCCTGCAGGGCCTCCCCGAACCTGGAGGGGCGGCGAGCTTTCAGACCCGAGCTGGAGACAGAAACCTCCTCCCACCTGCTGAGTGGGAACGGCCTCTCCCAGGAGCCCCCGCACCCCAGCTCTACCGGGGTCTGAGGTCACTGTGCGGGCTCCCAGCTCCAGACTTGAGCGGGAGACAGATGCACAGATCAGACCCCAACACATGGCCACAGAGCCACCTGCGACACACAAAGCTAGAAATCCTGGGGTTCTCAATCTCAAAGCTAAAATCAGAGAAAACCAGCCCTGGCCCCAGAAGTTCCCAGAAGCCATAAACGAAACGTACTTATCTCGTAAGATCACGCCTTCGATGCAAGCCCCGAAAAGCACAATGCAGGACAGGTCTGCGGCTCGGGTCAAGGACGCGGCGGGCATGACGCAGTAGCTGAACCAGCCCCGGACCGACCCCACACCCTGCCCACCCCGCCCTGGGCCCCGTGCCGTGTCCTTGCTCTATGGGGACCTTAGGTCAGTCACGATGGGCCTGGCCTGCAGGGTGACCACCACAGGCACCGGGCTGGAGACCTCGCCGGCTGGAAAGGGATGAGCTCAGTGAGAAAGGCTCCACTGGCACCTCAAAGCCAGTGAGCCCACCTGACAAGACTGTGACGTGAGCACACGCGTGGCTACACGTTAGTGACACGTCACACTGTGGTCACTACACGTGGTTCTCGGACAAAGCCATGTTCTACCACCAGCCCAGGCTGGCGTCCAGGAGTCTGTGTTTATTTTCCTAAGTCAGGCCAACGCCAGCCCAGCCCCCTCTGAGAACGGGTGTTTGGCCAGAACTCCCCAGAGCAGGGAGGCCCGCCCGGAGGCACAGAGGGCCCGGCAGTGAGTGGAGAAGGGCACAGAGCCGTCCGATCCTCAGCACCCGGCCCCCACACTCGACCCCCCAAAGATACAAATGAAAGACGTGGTCACGATGGCCAGAATGGTTCCACTGGGGATGGACTTCTGGGCGTCCTTGAGGTCCCCGGACCGGTTAGAGCCCGCCATGATGCCTACGGAGATGGAGCGAGAGCTGATGGGCCACAGGGACTGACGGCACCTAGGAGATGCCACCCACCTGCCCGCCTGCCCGCCCACCCTGGCCCATCTGGGGCAGAGTCAGAACGGGCCTGGGACTTCCTCACGACGCAAAGGAGAGACCCCCAGCCTGCACGCCAGGCCTCACAGAGCCAGGCTGGACCTCTCTTCACGTCTTGGGTAGGCTGCTGCAGGGCACGTGGGCAGGTGCCCAAATGTCCCCGACGCTCTCCACGGGGACAGCCAGCCCAGCTGTGAAGTCAGTCACGGTGGAGGCTAGGGCACGGCTCATCCCAGACACTTGCCACACACGCCAAGACCAGACCTGGCCTCCGTGTGCATCGCCCCTGACTGCATCCCCACCGTGATCTCCATTGATCCCCGTGGCCGGGAGCGAGAAACTCCCTGGAGAGTGAGGCCAAGTGCTGACTCACTTCTGGGGCCAGGCCTGGGTCAGAGCGTAGCTCAGCCTCAGCACAGACTCCCCGCTGGCCTCAACCCTCCTCCTTCCCACGCGGTGACTGGCCACCGCCTCCGCCGCCACCGCCCCCCACCCCGCACCGGTCACTCCATTTGGCACATAAAGTGTAAGCGATTCCTACTGGGATCAAAGAAAATCCAGGTGGCAGCAGGTTCGTTCGACACCTGTGATCCTATCCCAGGTGTGGCCTGACGCGCCAGCACAGAGCCCGTGGGTGTGCCACGGGGCGTGGAAAGACCCACATCCACAGAGGAGGTCTCCCCGCCCTGATCACTGACAGCGGGGGGTCAGGGGTACAGGAGAAAGACTCCCCAGGGGCCGGATCCACACACCCCCACGCCCGTCCAAGTGGCACCGTGACCCCGCCTTCGCGGGGAGGCTACCTGCCCCAGCTCCGGGCCTCGGGGAAGGCGGAGGTGAAGTTCGGAGCGGGGCAAGCAGCCCCTGGCAGGCCAGCCTCCGGAGCGTGGGGACAGGCCTGAGTGGGGGCCAGGCGCGAAGATGGCCCCGGGCCCCCTGGTCGGCCAGTGCCAGCCTGGGGGGCCGGGGCTCCACTGTGCTGGGCCAGGCTGAAGAGCCCCCAGGAGCAGGTGTGCGCCCACGGGTGCGTGTGTGAGCGTGCGGACCAGTGTGTGCGTGTGCACGTGTGGGGGACTGTGCACTGGGGCTCTCCAGGAGGTCAGCAGACTCTCTTATAAGGACAAGGACGCTGCAGTCCCCGGCCTCTGACAGCCCTCAGGTCCACTGCTAAGGGCCAAGGTCGCAGGGCCACTCCGAATACCCTGGGTCTCTCACAAGAACACGGACAAGCCCCTTGACGCCCATAGCTCCTGAGCCCCTGGCTCAGACACGTGGGGAACGGAGACCCCGAAGCTCATCTTTGAGCCAAAAGGAAAAGAAAGATGGGGCGGGGGTGGGCATGTTAGAGCCGACGGGGCCCTGACCCGCCGGGAGCACCGAGGCCTCACCAGTCACGGAGGGGAAGTAGATGCCGACCAGCATGGTGAAGTAGGTCGTGATGTCAGTGAGCACGTAGGGCAGCCCGCTGGCTCTGCTCTCCTCCGGCACGGGCACCGAGGGCACGCCCTTCTTCTCCACAAACACCCCCTTGTCCGCGTAGGCACTCCACAGGTTATCTGGAGGGGGAACAGGCGGATCACGAGACTCCACACCTGCCATCAGGGCTCCGCCATCGGGTGGCCCATCCCCACCCCAGCCTCCAACTTCACACCAGGACAAGGACAACTGACCTGGAGAAACTGCCCTCTAAGAAAACCATCCTCTCCTAATCTCTGAATGAAAGATTTTGGTCCTTAAGTCAAGTCTGATGAAAAAACTTACCTCGTACAACAATCTACCCCTGACGAGCTGCCTGAGGGACCCCACCCGTTAATTATTTCCCTTATCAACATGCTAATCCCCCGTGCCTGCCGCTTTGCAATTCTAAAGATAAAGGGTCAACTTCGAAGCCCTTACCTGCTGCCTGCAAGATTCACCTGGCGTCTACGCTCTGGGGAGAATCAGCCCAGAGGGACCCCAATGGGCCAGCAGCTGGGGGCGGGGTGATGTGGCCACAGGTTGGGCGGAAGGACAGGACCCAAGGGACTAGGCTCAGAAGGCCCGGCCCCGGCAGAGACCCGCCAGACGCTCACCCAGGAGGACGCCGCTAACCACACCGGGGATGCCCTGGATCTCCGTGACGTTGTTCTGGGCAAAGTACTGGTCGCAGGAGATGCTGGCCGTGGATCCGTTGCAGAAGAGGCTCCAGAGCGCAGTGGTCGCCGAGCCGTTGTTGGTGGCGTGGACTTTGGCACAGACGTCGAAGCTACGTCGGGACAGCGTGCGGTTCCCCAGCAGACAGATCCTGGGCGGGAGCAGGTGGTGAGACGCCTCGCCCACCGCTCTTCTCCGTAACCGAGTGGAGTTCGCAGGTCCCTCGTGAGGCGCTTCGGACCCCCTCCGCTCAGGGCGACAAGGGCATTCGCATGAGGCACTGGCCCTCAGCAGGTTTCCAGCAGCACCGGGCCCCGGTCCGTCCTGCCGCCCTCCGCTCTGGGGCGCCTGACGCGGAGTGAATGGCCCGCGTGGCGTGTCCACGTGCGCAGAGCGGCCGCCCCCCACCCCGGGCTCCTCCTGGCCCAGCCCGGTGGGGCCGCACGGGGGCTCGCGCGCTCGCTCTGTGACCCGGAGCTACCCCGTTCCGCGCTGCATCCTCACCCGGAAGGGGACAAGAGAAGACCCTGCTCAGGGGCTTCCATGAGGACAGGGCCACGGCCGGGAGGAGCTCGGTGCTGCTGGAGTCACCAGGCCTGTCCTGTCCTCGCAGACAGCACGGCCACGAGAGCACCGTGACCTGTTCGCCCTCGACCCGGCCAGAGTAGGGACGTCTGCAGACACAGGGCGCCATGCCCAGCCCAGCCAACGTGGTCAGCGGTTAAGGCCAGGGCCACAGACTGGGGCGGGAAGCCGGCCCGGAGCTGGGCGGAGGACTCACGGGATGTCAGGTGGGTCGAAGGCGGTCTTGACGACGCCGGCATAGATGGCAAGGATGGACAGCACGACGCAGGCCAGGAACACCAGGGCCAACTTGTTGACGTACTTGACGCCCACGAAGACCACCGTGGCCATGAGGGCCAGCGTGCAGGTCCCGTACACTCGCATGTTGTGTAACAGGGCTGTGGCCTCGCCGCCTGCGCCCTCAGCCCGCACGATGGCCGCGCTGGGGGAGATGTAGGTCTGCAGGGCAAAGCGAGGTCAAGAAGGGCCGCCCACCCCTCCCCAAGGTGACCGCACGGGAGCGCGGGGCCAGGCGCGCCCCTGCACCTCCCAACGGGCCCTCTCTGAGGGGGCGCGGCACCGGGCTCCGCCCTGCCCGTGAGCCTCCACGCCAGCAGACGCCTCTGGGACACACCCTCAGGTCGCGCGTCTGCGGCCTGGACAAGGGAACCCGCCCGAAACATTGCACTTACCAAAAAAATCTCAATGGTCCCCAAAATGTACATGGCCCCCGCGAACGTGGTGCCCAGGTAGAAGCAGAGGCCCACGGCCCCCCCGAACTCCGGCCCCAGAGACCGCGATATCATGTAGTAGGAGCCGCCCGCTGCAAATACGCCAAACGGGAAGCAGCGGGTTACGGACCTGCCGCTGACCGTGAACACAGACCTCCCGGGGCAGACGGCCTCGTCCATGGGATGGGGAGCCCGGCCGCAAGGGTGGAGACACGCGCCTGAGTCCACAGGCGCCCTCCCCCTGCTGGCGGCTGTCTTTGGAAGCTGTGACTAAAGGAGGGCGAGCCACAGTCAGGGGCCTGGACCCTGACGGCCGTGCCCGTACGAAGCCTGCGGCTGACATCACACCCGAAACCTTGACTCAACTTTCACCCAGGAAGATTTAAAATACCAAGAGCTCTTTAGTCATCCTTTGTGTGTCACACCTACGGATACAGTGACACCCACGGCCTCGCCAGCCCGTCCCTGGTCGTCCTGTCGGTCGGCTGAGACCCCACTCAGACACTGACCAGGGACCGTGCGTGACACTGGGCACCTGGAGGACATCTCAGGGTGCAGCCCCCCCCCCAAAGAGCAAGTAGTGGACAGCGTGAACGCGACAAGAAAATCCCTGGAGGCATTTACGTAGATTCCCCGAGGAGAACCCCAATTTCTCAGGGACCCCAAGCACATGGGCAGGCTCTGGGGGACGAGCCGCAGGGGGCACCCCTCCCTGGCCTTAGAAAAGCCCCACTGTGCCCTCGATGGGGGGGGCACGCCGGGGGGAGCGTCAGGTGCAGGTGGGGGCCGGGAGCCGCCTGAGTTCTGCTGCCCAACGGCAGGGTCACTGCCGACGGGGCCTCTGGAAGGGAAGGGCCTGGCCGCACCACGGGGATGTCCGCCCCTCCAGGTGTGGGGATCCATCCTGCAGGCGGGTGAGGGCGTGTCCGCGCTGGGACCCGCCCTCTGCCGCCCCTGAGTCCGCCCGGGGTGAAGGGTGAACATCACACGAAGTGGCACGTGCACCACCGTCCACAGCGGAGCCCGCTCGGTCACTCCCCGCCATTCCCAGCTCCCCGCGGCACCCTTACCTGGGACCATGCCATTGGTCGCGATCGCACTCATGGAGATTGCGGTCAGCATCGTCTGCAGAAAGACGGGGGCCTTTTAGAAGAACGAGCATTTGCGAGAGCCACCCCGGGAGGCGGACGGCACCGGGCCTGGGGCGGCGCCCGCCTGCCGACTCCCGGCTGCTGACCTCAGAGCGCTGCTGGGTAACCGGGCGCCATAATGCTCAGGACCACAGCCCTGCTCTCTCCCACTTAACCCCCAAAGCTGAGCTCCCGTGAGCCCCCCAGGGAACACCCGACTCGGGACCGCCTCCTGCTTCCAGTGGGCGCCCGCTTCCTGATGGGATGCAGGGGGACCCCCTGTAGGCCCCCACCTAGGTGCCCCGCGGGCCACCCACCCCACGGGGCTGGGGGACTGCCAGAGTCTGTCCAGGGCGGGCCTTCTCACCCGCTGCTCAGGAAAGCGGCCACACCTGTGGGCTGGGGAGCAATTACTTCACAACCCGAGGACCGGAAGAACAGCCCCCGGGAAGCCTGCAGCCTCAGTGCCCACCTGACTGGTTCCTGCCAGGGACGTTTCTAGCTTAACAAAGGCCCTGCTCTGTATCCTGCTTTTCATCGGCTTTTACTAGGGGAGAGGCGGGGTGATTGCTCCAAAGACACTTCCGGGCTCATTAAGTGAATGCAGCACGTGCGGAACAGCGAGAACCTTCAGGCAAGAGCTTCAGGCACGACAGCACAGGAGCGGGAAGGCCGTGGACACAGAGGCGGCCCGGGGCGGCCGGGGGACGCAGCCGGGGGACAGGCAGGGCAGCAGGCTGGGGTCGAGGGGACCCTGGCTCATCTGCATCGTTGGATTCTTTCAGGCAGGTGGCACTTGGGGGGCTCAGAGCAGCTGAATCACCCTCCTCGTAACAGCGATGGAGAAAGGGGAGGAGGGAGGTGGGGGGGCAGGTGCTGAGGGCCACTTAGGGGTTGAACCAGGCACGACAAGCTGTCGCAAGAAAAGGCTCCTGGGCCGCTAAGGCAGATGGGGACGTGGGCGCGGAGGCCATGTGGAGGAGGGCCTGGTGAGCCGGGTGCAGGGCTGAACGTGTCACCAGCGGGCAGGGGACCTGGTCTAAATGCAGGACGGGATGGCCGTGAGTGGTGGCCACCAGGGGACGCTGACCCTTGGCTTCTGCGGAGGCGGGCCCATGAGACTGCCCCCGGCCCGTCAGCAGCCGGGCGCTGACCTGCGCCCACACCAGCGCAGGTGAGGGGTGCCCTTGGGGCCGGGGACCCCGGAAAGCCCCGACGTCCAGCTGCCCCCGCCCCACTCACGCAGGTGCAGCACATGGACACGATGAGGAAGGACTCCAGGACGCCGGCCGCTCCCACGATCCAGGTCAGGCGCAGAAAGAGGATGACACCCAGGATGTTCTGCAGGCACGGCAGGTAGACGCCAATGAGGGTGCCCATGCGGGGGCTCTGGAAGAGAGCGGAGCAGGTTCCGGGGTCGGCAGCGCCTCCCCCAGAGCCCCCCTGCCCCCGCCGGGAGCTGATGGGTCCCAGAGACTGTGAAGAGGTCAGGGGACAGGAAGACAAACGAAGACCAGCAAAGGCCCAGCTTCAGTTACGCGGAAAGCGGCTGACGCGAGGCCAGGGCTTGGAGAGAACCCACAGTAGGACTCCCTGAAACTGTGTACAAGCCCCCGGGTCCTCGTCTGACTCAAGAGTGAAATGACTGGGAAACATGAAGACGTATCAACAGAAACAGACAATAGCTGTAGGCCTGGGGAACTGGCAGTAATTCAGACTATAATTCTGCTGCGTCTCAGAGTCACGAACTCCCAGTTCCCCGAAACACATAGATAAAGGCCTGACACACCTTCCTAAGTTGTTTCTGCAGGAAGCAGACGCCCACCAGATGGAACCTGCTGGCCACAAGCACACAGACCCCAGACCGGCTGAAACCAGAAGGCTGACGATGCTTGAAACTTCACCTTGATGCCAACCAATCCGAGAGCTGTCCACGAGCTGACCACGCCCTGCTCCTTGACCACTGTAAGGCTACCCCCTGCAGGGTGGGCACAGCTCCTGAGGCGCTAGCCCGCTGTGTTCCCTCTTTGCCTGGCAAAGAAATAAAGCTACTCTTTCTCTTTCCTGCAAAACTCTGTCTCCGTATTTCTATTCAGCACTGGTGTACAGAGGCCAAGATTTTGGCAATACCCTCACTGCCCAGGAGCAGGGGGGCGGGGGCAAAACCACGTCACTGCCCCGGGGGCAGGGAGGGGAGAGAAGGGCTCGGCCCCCCCCCCCATCAGGGGCACAGCGGGAAGGTGGGGAAGTTGGAGAAAAGACGAGGAGCAAGCCGACCTGGGCTCTGCCCGAAGCAACTGCAGCCCAGGTCCTCAAGAGAGCGCGAAGTGGGGGGAAATGAGAGGCCGGAAGGAAGGGTTAGGGACCGGCCACCATTCCCTAGGCTGCAAGGGCGCAGAAGCACCAAGTCCAGAGAGAAATCTGCCGCGTCCTGACCCACCTGGAGGAAGTGCCCAGCGAGGGGAGGGGACCCAGCGAGAGTTCAGAGAGGACGTGCCCTCTGTGAGTGACCCCCTTCCCGAAGGCCCCGCAGCACGGCCGACCAGATGCGGCCTGGGAGAGGGTCGCCCCGCCGCGGGGTAACCGCAGGAGGGTGCCTGACAGAAACGTCTTCCGTAACCCCAGACAGACTACAGCCGAGCAAAGCTGCCCAGAGGAGAGCTCGGGAACAAGGCCGGGGGCCAGCCCGTCCTGCCCGCCGGCCAGCGAGACGGCAGCGTCAGGCGACACAGTCGGGATTTGGGGACACCTGGCTAAAAAGGCAAGAGGACGTTTAATGGGGAAGCTGCTTAAACTCAGGCGAATAAAAGGAAAAAAAGCTGGGAAGATCTGCTTTGAAAACATTTCCTGTGAAAGGGGCCAGGCTGCCTAAAACGAGGCGTCCCGCGGAGGCTGGGGAGACGTGGCCCAGCCCGCTCGCTGGGCCGAAAGGCGGGCCCCCCTCAAAGGAAGCCGGGGGGCTTCTCAGGGTGAGAATGGAAGGTCGACCCACAGGAACGCCCGCAGCGAGAGAGCTGGCATGGGGCTGGCATGGAGCAGAGACCCTGGGGAAGTAACCCAAGGGGGCGCCCGGGGAGCGTGGAGGTGGGTCAGAAGCCTCGGGCAGACTCGGCCTGAGGCCTGGACGGCACCCGGCAGCTGGCTTTTCACGCCTGGGCCCTGAGCGCCAGTGTCCGGGGCAGCCCGCCCCCGCGGCCCCGTGTCCTGTTTGTGGATGACGGAAGCGTGGCGGCTCCTGGCCGCGGGCGCAGAACGGCGGAGAAGGGTGAGGGCGACACAAGCTGAGAGTAGCTCCGGCCCCTGCCTTTGGCTCAAGGACCGTGAAACACCAGAAGCAAACCCTCCAGTCTCACGGGCGCGGGGCCCCCGCCCGCCTGGCCCAGCCTCAGGCCCGGCCCGTCCCTGTGCAGTGGCGAGATGACCCTGAGTCGTCCTGAAAGGCCGTGACGGGGCCCCCGGCACTCCCATAGAAGGCAGCTTTGAAGGATCAACCTGGCCGGTTACGAGGCCCAAGATACTAGAGGCGCCCAGACCCTGGAGAAGGCACTTTTGGGGGACCGACCCCCCATCTCTGTGCCCCCTGGTCAGAGGGACAACAAGGGCCGCTCCCACGGACCCATGCCCGGGGGTGGGGCAGCCGGGTCATCCCGCCAAACCCGCCCACCTGGCCACACACGGTCGTGCTGAGGGTCACGGGTGGCCTGCGTCAGCCTCTGGCACAGGCTCCCGGGTGCCCTGGGGACACAGGCCAGGAGCTGCCCGCTCGGGTCCCAATCTGCCCTACGCACTGTGCACAGCTCGGCAGGCTGGGCTTACGGGACCTCCCCGAGGTCTCTGCACAGAATCCTCGGAGAGCTGGGCGCATCTTAGGAGAGGCTCCCAGAGGTAAACCCTCAGAAATAAGGCTCCCAGGAAGGCGGCAGCAGGACAAGTCCCGTGACTGAGAAACGAAGCGGGGGGGGGGGGGGTTTCCAGGGGATCCGGTGGGGGAGGGGAGGCCCCGGCGCAGGGCGGGGCCGGGCTGGGGCACCTTGGCCTGGCGCCGCCGGCTGTCCTCGGCCTCCTCGTGTTCTACCACGCCCTGGCTCAGGTTGGTGTAGTTGGCCAGCTTGTTGAGTAGCGAGGACACCATGGGGTTGCTGTCCATCTCCTCCTGTTTGGGACCGAGGCGTGGAGTTAGTGACCCCCCGACCCCGAGACGCCCCAGACCGACCAGACCAACCTCCCAGCAGGGGTCCCGCTCTACGTGCCCAGCGGGTCAACGGTCAGGGCTCAGGGCCCCGGGGCTCCCCGGATGGCCCAGGCCCAGCCCCTCCCCGGGGCTCCCTGAGGCCTCTGCCCGGACCCCAGGGCACCGTTAGTCTGGGCTCTTCTCTCGCGGGTACTGCCGCCTCCGCTCTGAAGGGGAGAGCGGGGGGTGCGGGGGGTGGTGACCCACCTCAAAGAGCGCCATGCTCTTCCTTTCAAAGGCTCTCTCTCCGTCCACGTCCACGCTGCCGATGAACGGGCTGTTCTCCCCGGGGTTTCCATCTCCTGTGGGGAAGGGCTCCGTCAGATGTGAAAGGAATTAAAGGAGGCCACGAGGGAACAGGAGGAGGGGGCCCCGCCAGGCACTTCTCTACGTGCCTCGGACTTTTCTAAGTTATCTGTCAGGGGGCGAGGGACCAGGTAGACAGAAGGCCAAAGGTGGCGCTGGGTCCAGGAAGCTCAAGTCCCACCCCAGCCCTTTTGGGTCCTGCGGGACAAACGGCTCAAGACCAGCAGATCCAGACAGGCTGGCCCGTGACCGTCCTCGGCGGGGACGGGGTGGGGACCGGCACTTGTACCAGGTGGCACCGAGGCTCGCTGCTTTGTTCTGACAGCAGCTTCAGCTTTCCAATCCCCCCAATCCTGGTGGATTACGGCGGCCTCACTGGTGACCCCATTAGCTCAGAGCACAGTCCCCGCGGGGAGTGTCACGGAGCCCACACGTAGGCGCACGGCCGGCAGGTGGCCCATCGTGGCCCTGCTGTCTCCACGGCTGTTTCTGTCAGGAAGCCCTGGCCCGCCATCCCCAGCTAGAGTATACCAAGGCCCTCGGAGTGGCCAGGCCACAGAGGAGCGAAGGGTCAGCCCCGACTCACCCTGGGAGCTCCTTCCAGATCCTGGAACGCGAGCCTTACCACGTGCTCCCAATTCAAAGCAGAGAGAAAAACCCTGATGGCATCGCTCTGATTCCCAGCCCTGCCCCATCCCACCGGATCTGGAGCAATGCCATCCCAGAAGCCACCAGCAGGGACACGGGGTGAGCTCGGAGACACCGGCACCCCTACCTGGGCCCGCCTGCACGTCAGCCCCACCCACAGGCCTTCTGCGTGTGATGTGACCCTGTATCAGAAGGGCCGAGTGAGGACACCAGGAAAAGGCGCTCCAAACTGGCTTTTCTCAGGCCCCCAGGGGCCCTGGGGCAACCCGGAGCATGACCTTAGCGGGGAATCACCTGCTCACCAGGTCCCGTCACGGGTGACACCCGACTTGCTGAGGGAATCCCCCAAATCCCCAGAAGGAACCAAAGCCCAGACGCACAGGGAAGGGGAGTCCACAGTCCATCCCCTGTGAACTTACGTGCCTGCCCCTCACAACGGACACAAATTCAGGAGCCACCGGGGTCCAGGCATCACCCCCTCACCCCCCGAAATCCACAGACCCACGCCCATCCACCGAGGCCTCCCAGACCCCTCCCCAGAAAGTTCCCAGGGTCCAGCCCGTGGAGGCTGCATGGCAGGCAGAGCCCTGCCCTCCTGCCGGATGGACCCTGTGCCCCTCACTGCTGAGCCCCAGTGACCAGCTCAGGGGCAGCAGAAGGCCCGAGGAAGCCAGTGGCCGGGGAACCGCTGGCGGATGCTGGGACCAGGGGCGACACCTGGAGGGGACGGGGCAAGGACCCCCCACACACCATGGCCCCACGAGCCACCTGCTCATCACCATGGGGCAGGGGCAGTGCCAGGAAGAGCCAATCACCCACTGAACCAGGGGTCAAGGTGAACACGAGGGTCACAGGCTGACCGACACCCAGGAGAGGACATGACTGCCTGGGTCCCCGGATTCCAGCACGAGGAGCTTGAGGCAAATCAAAGGAGCCACCGGCCCTCTTCAGAGGCCTCGGAGGACACGGGCCGGCTCCGGAACGTTCTGGAAAGAGGAAGAAGATGGAAGCAGCCCGATTCTTTCCATAAAGGACATTATTGGGCTGACGGCGAAATCTGAGTAAGACTTCAATCAATGAAAACGTCCTGACTTTGGAGACTGTACTACAGGCATCATGAGAGGAAATGTGCTTGTTTTAGGAAACACACAAAGGGCATCGCACCTTCTGCCTGTTCTCAGCACATCGGGAAGGAACGTGCGAAAAGGGGGAGGGGGAGGCATAAGGCAGGTGGGACCAGTGCTCAGGCAGATGACACGTGATCCCGTGCTCTTGAAAGTTTTCTCAAGCCCAAGTTCTGAAGTTGGGTCAAAACAAAGCTTAAAAACTGCAACCACATTCAATTAAACAAGAAATCCCTCCTGAGCGCCCTCCCCCGCTCTGCAGGCGTCTGCGGGAGGGCGCCAGCCCGTCTCCCTCCTTCCTGCTTCAAGCGAGCTCCTGTTCAGCACCTTCTTCCTGGTGATAATGACTGTACTTTCCTGGTGGCAACAATCCTGTTTCCGACTGGGTTTCTGGTGTAAACGAAGCCGCAAACAGCTCTCTGCAGACCAGACTCTGGAGGACACGCAGGCCGGCTCTGTCCCGGTCAACAGGCTTCAGCCACGCAGGCCAGGGTGCCGGCCACCCCGGGAGGGGTGTTGGGTTCTCCCTCTGCCCCAACCTTGGACAAATTCATGGCTCCCAGGTCTTGTGTTTCTCGTCCAGGGAGAGGCGGCCACCACGGACAGGGCCTCCACTCAGCTCAGGCCTGGCTGCCCAGGTGCCCCTGCCGCCCCCGCCCGGGAAGCACAGCCTGGTCCAGGGGGCTCTGGGGGTCTGTCTGAATGCCCACCGGGCACGGGGCGGATGGGCACCTGCAACCACGTTCAATCCACAGAGACAACATCTTTCTTGGAGCATCTGATGCTCCTGGCTGGCTGGGAAAGTGAGCCACGACCTCAAACAGGAGCTGAGACAGCTGGCCCATCCGCCGCGATGAGGGCCGCGGGGTGGCCCGGAGCCGAGGGTCGGAAAGGAGCAGAATGGGCGAGAAGTGCCTGGGCGAGGGGGCCCAGGGAGACGGCCAGGATCAACTGATTCGAGACAGGTGGACGTCAGTGGCTTATTTACACACAGGACAACCGTGGAGACTGCGGAGTGGGAAGCAATGCTGTGAACGCCCCACAAAGGCCAGGATGGCCCGCCCCGTGGGGACACGTGTGCTGGGCACGTGTGCACAGGAAGCCCGGGGACGGCCAGGACTGGGCTGTCAGGCCGTGAGGCTCTGGTCTTCCGGCTCGCTGCTTATAACCAGAATTAATGCACAGAGAATGGGGGAACACACACAAAACGCACCGGAGGAACAGCAACACACGCCCCAGCGTCTCCATAAATCCCCCCCCACCCCCCGACTCCCCTCGTTTGGGGGCTGCACCGCCCACACCAGAGATTACGGCCAACAGTGAGTCTCCTTATCCATCGTAAACCACCGTCTTAATCGCTAATCCTTTAACAAGAACACGTTTCCCTTCATTTCTGAGAAGGCAGTCCTCGGGCGTGCTTTCCGAAGCGCTGCGGGACCCAGCGGAGAGAAGAGGCTCACGCGGGAGCCTCGGACAGCCATCTCCGCCTCGACCTGCTGGAGCCAAGACTCTTGGTTAAAAATCAAACGCTTCGGGCCTCCCTGGTGGCGCAGTGGTTGAGAGTCCACCTGCCGATGCAGGGGACACGGGTTTGTGCCCCGGTCCGGGAAGATCCCACATGCCGCGGAGCGGCTGGGCCCGTGAGCCATGGCCGCTGAGCCTGCGCGTCCGGAGCCTGTGCTCCATAACGGGAGAGGCCACAACAGTGAGAAGCCCGCGTACCGCGAAAAAAAAAAAAATCAAACGCTTCTACCTGAGGGACACACCTGCGATCCCATCCCACAAAATGCGAAACCGTCACAAGCTACCCGGGTGAGCCTTAAAATTCCCTTAATTGCTTTCACCGCTGGAGAACACTCAAATCTCAGTTTTTATTTTTCAAGGGAGGGGCAGGTTACAACTCAAGTCTTCACAAAGGAAACTGGTACAAACCCTCCCCCCCAGGGCCTGAGCCCTTGGAACACGCTGGGGGCTCTGAAGACCTCAGGCTCCAGATGGACAGCCCTCCCGCCTCCACCGGGACTCTGATGGCACCCGGCACGACCCTGCCAGGCCCGGTCGCGGCTCTGAAGAGCAGGAGTCCTCCTCTGGCTGAGACCCTGCTCCCACGTCTCGGGGAGGAGGCCGCTCACCTGGGCTTGCGCCCGCTGCGCACTCTGCTTGGTCACGACAATGAGGACCCAGGACAAGCCCGAGCAGAGGGGATCCCGGGGGCGCAGGGCCCGCCTCACTGGCCCCACCGCCTCCGTCCTCCTGGGGCGACCGTCCCCCGTGGTGCCCCCGCCGGGCACACAGCCCGGAGGTCACCGGGTGCCCTCGCTGCACAGCGGTGGCTGCCGGGCCATGTGGGAGGGGCCCCCCGACGGTCAGGTGTCCTGGGCCACGCCGGCCGGGAGGGCAGGACCCACACCTGCTGTCTCCGAGCAGGAGCGCTCGGGCCTCGTTCACCTGCTCTAACGGACGGGCAGGGCTGGGCCGTCAGATGTGTAGTCAAACAGAAACGGCCTGGAGGCCACGCGATTAACACTCCCCACCACCACCAGAGCTGGCTCCCCGCCTCACGCACAGGTGGGGCTTTCGGCCTGCTCGTTTCACGCGGCAGGGGCGCTGCCGGTGGGGCTCACCGCGCAGAGATCACAGCCTGACGCGGTCCAAGGTCACAGCCCCCCGCAAGCCCGGGACCCCCGGACCCCTAGTGTCCAGCCGGGCGGGCGCAGTGGGCGGGGAGGCCCTGCCAGGCCGGGAGGTCCCTCAGAGCCCAGCCAACTTGCATGTGACTCACCCCTCTCGTCACCGAGGAAGGAGACTGATTCGGTTTTAAAACAAGGATCCTTCGGCCAGTAAACCCACGGGACACCATGGCCAGGACACGTCCAACTGGCGGGGGTGCCCGTGTGCTGGGGACGCCCGAGAACGGCCACACTGCGGACGCGGCACCAGGAAAGAGGGGCCGAAGGTGCCCGGGGCCCAAGGGGACAGGAGGGAACTGGGGGTGACACGCAGAAACAGCTGACGCACACGCAGGACACGCCCACAGCACCGCCCCACACACCGGCATCGGGAAGGCGGGCGCCCGCGCACGCAGAGCTGCCCGCCAGAGAGTCCGGAGCCTGGGACAGGTGACCCTCAGCCCGCTCACAGCTGGTGAGTTCAAACACCCCGGGAGCCGCGGGCAGGCACCACATGGCCCGAGCGCCAGCCGCTCGGTTTACGGCCCCTTGGCC